TTGGGCTGCTCAGCGGGCTTCTTGTTGGCTTCGTTCAAGTCGTAAATATAGGTGTGATGGTTGGTCACATCGTACGTGTCCGGATTCACAGTGTATACCCTGTAATTGGGATTCTTGTAGCTGAATGTGGTCAGGGCGCCGCCATTCCAGGACACCGCCGTAGCGTGACCTTGCTCCGAATAGTGCACATTCAGCTCATCCTTGTGGGAATGGCCATTGAAAATGCCACTGATTGTCTTGTGGAAGCGGGTGATACAGCGGTTATACTCCCGGGCCCACACCGACCAACAGGTGCCGTCGCCCGAGGGTATGTGGTTCAGCACATGGACGTGCTCACCGGCGGCCTCGGCGGCCAGCAAGGTGTCGTGGAACCACTGCAGCTGAGGTATCTTGCTATTGCCGCTGTGATACAGCCAGAAGTTGTCCGTGTAGCAATCATTGCCATTCAGCGCAATGATGCGGAAACCCTTCTCTGGCGAAACTGTATAATAGCCACCCTTCAATATGGTCTCCTTGGTGTCTGCCGGAAGCCACTTGGACCAGTCGTTGTACAAGTGCTCGTACAGCCACCTGGTGCTGATCTCATCCGGCACTCCTTCGGGGCTGAAGCTGTAGCCCAATGGAATGGAGATTTACTTATATAAGAAGAAGAAGAAGAAGGAATATTTATTTACTCACAGATTGAGTGGGTGAGGCTCATGATTGCCAATGCAAGGAAAGACGCGCGTCTCGGGAAACACTTTGATGAACTGATCCGTTACCTTGCTCAGCACTTCAGAGTTCTTCTTCACAGACGTTCCCCAGACCATGTGGTCAACGATGTCGCCAGTTTGATAGATATATTTGCAGTCCACAGTCTTGGCAGCATGATCCAGCGCCGACTCAAATGATCGCCAGGGCAAGTCGCAATCACGATAATCGCCCCAGAAGCCGGCAGCATCGCTGGTGCCCTCCGTGGTGCTCTTCTGCCGCTGACAGCACAGCGGCTCAGGACAGGCCGCCAGACTGCCCGGCTCATACAGCGGATCGTGGTGAATATCGCTGAATTGGCATATTTTGAAGTCGTTGGCACTGTGAGTGGGCGTGTCCGACTTGGGGCCGGTTGGTGCGGGAACTTTGCCGTCGACAGTCAAGGTCCAGTTGTAGGCTGGGTTGCTGCCCGTGTTGCAGAAACTGACCTCCATGAAGAGGGAGCAAAAGCTGTGTGAGTCCATCTCCGAGTTGTGCATTATGTACTCCACAGTTGGTAGATTGAAGTCGATCAGACCCTCGCACACCTCCTCCGTTTGCAGTTCCATGCGGCGGCACACGTCCATCGCAATCTTCTTCATAAGCACAGCGCTGTCTTTGCCATTCAACTCGCCGCCTTCTTCGCGCACGGATCGAATGAAAACGTTGATCACAGAGCGACACAGTGTGCAAACGACAAAGCTATCGCGTGTCTCTAAGTCGGGCAGATTCTTGGTAAATATATCCTTTTTGGTATGTGCCTTGGCCAGTTGTTGTGTTAGTTTTTGAAACGCTGGAGTTTCCACTCCGGTTTTCAAAAAAGTATAGTACTCTTGCTCCAAGCGCTGAGCCACATCATCGGAGATGGCCGAGAGCACTTTATCCTCCAAATCGAAGTCCACCGGGACTCCTGGCAGATGAACTGCCGTTGCAGCAATCAGACCACACAGTAACACAATCAACGACTTCATGGCATTCGCTGATCTACTAACAGACCGTCGCACCTGAACACCAATTTATAGGTTTTGAATGGCCACTAAGAGGGCCTTATCATCAGATAGCGAACCCATTCAGAGTTTTTACTCTGAACAGTTTGATAAGGATTAATCTATTCATTTTCAATAATGAAGCTAATAAGCGATTAGGTAGTTAGTCCAAGTAGACTAACTGCAGTTTTATTCTGTATCTAAAAGCAATTTAGAACAATAACGGGAGCCACTTAAACATTATATTATTTTATTTTTAGAGTACTTTGCAGTAAACAACTATTTGCAGACAAGAATGAATTCCATTCGAAAATTTATTATTGTTTCATAGGCATTCAAAATACATATATTTTTTGTGCGATAGAAGAACTTTTAAAAAAATCAGAAACGCGCCTAATTTCGATTGTTATTTTTTATGATATCGCTTGCCATTGTGAACATATAAATAATAAATCGATAACACATTCGAGTTATTCTCGACGAAAATTGCACGGATTTGATTAATACAACAAGAAAATTGGTCAAATTGGTCATTAATAAAATAAAAAAATGTATTCCATCTAAGCCATTAAAACCATTGAATATTTAAAATACCAAACATGCTCAGGCATTTGAAGCATTGTTGTGTGCGTGCATGACAACCCTGCTTTTAGGCAGCTGGCATCATAATTCTAAACAGCTGAGTTATTAGCCATTAAAACACGAGAGAAAAAAGACGGAAAGATTTTGTAAAAAGGCCAGTGTCTTTGGAAAAATTGCAGAAAATCGGAAAAACTAATAGATCAATTAAGGCGTTAAGAATATTTTGAATTGCTGCGCTGCGTGTGTGTTGTAACTGTGTGCGTGCATGTGAGGCGTGAGTAATTGTATGCGACAATAGCAAGCACAGGAGCCAGTGACGCCATTTTCTGTGCGAATTAGCAGAAAAAAATCTGAGCAGGTGGGGCAAAGCAGACGCAACGGCAACGCCGCGTGACCAATAACTGAGCAACGAAGGGAAGGGACGCATACATAGAGGCATTCAATGAGCAGTCTAATCAACTTTCTTAATCCGAAACTAAAGCCCTCTGTGGAATGCGATGCCATCTGCGAGGATGGCTACACAGCTGCGAATCTCATATCAGACAATGAGGAGCACATCGAGCGGGGGTTTATGTGCTTCGCTGTATGCAAGCCGCCCGTTGATATCGTCTTTGACTTTCCCAAGGCCATCGATCTGAAGGTAATTAAGCTATGGCCCAGCTCCGGAGCTTTGCGCTCCACGGGCTTCGAGGTGCATGGAAAATATGATGGCATTTGGGAGCGTGTCGCCTATGTGCGTGACCTTCCAAAGGGTATGGATTCGGTAACGTTTTGCTATCAAAGCGATTACAATTCGCGCAGCAGTGCCGCAGCCGCACAACAGCGCAGCGAAAAGGTATTCTTTTTCAAGACGGCCCACAAGATATTGGGCGCAACGAACAGCGTGAAGATTGTGATTCGAACTACTGAACGGTGTCCGCCTGTGCTGCGTAAAATACAAATGTGGGGACTGCCTGCCCGCAGTCTAGATAAGGCCGATCGCGAGCTAATGAAAACTATTTGGAGCGAGATAAGTGATCCGTATGGCCTCAGGGACCAAGCACAGCAGCAACAGGCAGGCCAGCGTTCGCCCTCGCGTCACATTCCGGAACTGCGCGATCAGTCGAGGCTGGAGATACCAGAAGAGTTTCTTGATTCTATAACCTGGGAATTAATGGTGCGTAGTTTGTATTGCTCTACAGTAGCTCTAACTCACGTTCTCGTTGTCTTCCCCTCTCTTTCTCGGGTTTTCTTTTTTGTAGATATTTCCCACGGTGTTGCCATCGGGTAAAGTGGTCGACCAATCCACCATTGATAAGCACTCGGAAGAGGAGGCCAAGTGGGGTCGCCTGCCTTCCGATCCGTTCACGGGACTAGAATATACCTCACAACGCAAAGCAATATTAAACCTGGCGCTCAAGGCGCGTATCGAAAAGTTTCTAATGGAGCACTCGGAGCACTTCAAGTCCGCGCCACGCTCGCTGGGCAGCTCGCGTATGCGTCGCCGCCATGCCTCTCAGTTTGCTAGCCACATGTGCCTGCCGGGCAGCATGAGCGTCGGCACCTACTCCTCATTGAGTAGCGGTTACAAGCACCAGCAACGCAAGACCAAGTCAACAGTCACTGCCACAGCCACATCGGCATTCTCAGGTTCCCTTTCCCCAACATCGCCCCCCGCTGCTAAGCGCGCGCGGCACAGCTACTCTGCGTATACAGTTAGCTCCACCGTCACCGCCAGCAGCGCCGATCAATCGCCGACGACCTCATCTGCCACAGGCACAACGTCTTCCATTGACCAGGCCATACAGCAGGCTCTGCAGAAGATCACCCGCTTCACCCAAGTGGTGCCCCCACAGCCTATGCAGCCGACTAGCTGTATCAACTGCCGCAGCAGTCAGTTTGCCTACGAGATTCGCACCTGTCGGCACCTGGTTTGCCGCGAGTGCCTCGTCATCCTATCGGCGTCGCAGAAGTGTGTGTGCAAGGTGTCTTTCCAAGGCGTTGACGTGGAGCGCTATCACAAGCTGCCGTAGTCGTGCCTATCCATACAGCATAGTCTCGTATTCTAGTGCTTCAATATAATTAGGTTCGTGTATAGGATTTTTTGTTGCCAATCTTCAATCTTCAAATACCAGCGAAGCGGCGCTATTGGGCGTTCTGGCTTTACTTATAATTTAATCTAATTTAATTTTTTCTTCATTTTAAATTGTGTCTTCTATTTTTTGATTATTCAGTTCGTAAGTTCGTAAAAATAGGTCGTAGAATAATTTATATCATATCAGCGTCGATTTTAGCAAGTGCTGAGATTTTTATTCAAAGCCAAATTACACTTGGAATGGCGGATTGGATGGATGGATGCTCATTCCCAATTATCAGTATCAGGTCACACTTAGTCGGCAATGCGATTAAACTTACATTATATAGTATATGTATAATCATAGAGCAGATAAAGCGCGCATAATTTTTGTAGACTTTATACAACCCATAATTGGATGGACGAGATCAAGCGCGAAGTTTATATATTCATAACGTAATAAAGTTAAAAAACAAAAAAAATATTGCCTTTTACTAACTATATTTAACTTGCTAGTAGAAAGCTTGTATCGGGGGCTCTAGGCAACTGTTATACAGATAAAGTTGAAAGATTTGAATTTTATGACAATGACACAACTGCATATGCATGTATGTGTGTGAGCTAAACAGCTCAACAAATCGATTGTCTGGCAACGCTACCTAAAAATCAGACGTAATAAAATAAATGCATTTGAATGGATGAAAATATTGATGTTACGCCACAGCCAAGACGTCGTTTGGGATTAAGATTAGTTAGAAAAGCCAATTCGACGCCTGGACTTCGTCAACAAATAAAACAACCGGCTGCAACACCACAATCCACTGACAATAAAGAAAAGTCCTCTGATGCTATTGAAACTCCACGTGCGCTGCCGCTGCAGCTGAAGGCAAACTCAACCATTTGTCGACGTCCTGGCTTGGCACGCAAGCGCAAAGATCTGACTAAGAAGAGACTGGAATTCGCCGTTGCTGAGAAGCCTGTGGAGAGGCCTAAGACACCGGAGCAGGAACCGCCTGCAGAAACCACAAAACCCCAGCTTAACACCTGGAGAGAGCGTCAAATTATTGAACTGGAAGCCGACATAGATACATGGAGAAATGGCTTCATTGCTGCAATGGATGATCTACAGAAGTTGGTGGAGCCTAGAGTTACCAAACAAACGTTGCTCGCTCAATTAGGCATACCTCTAGAAATGCTTAAATACTTGGATGAAGACTGACTGATACACCAAATTACATACAATTAGTATTAAAATGTATTTCGGTAAACAAAACAAAACGAAAATCGTGTGTCTAATATTTATGCGGGCGCACAGGCTTTTCAGGATCGAAGAGTTTGGGATCTTGCAGGAAATCCAAATCTTTGTGGTAGGCCGGCATTAGCAGGCAGCGCTGGGCGCGCGTTATCGTCTTCTCCACGTCCTTCTGTTTCTGCTTGCTTAATCCATTTATGACAAGGGTAGGTCTGTGGGCTCTTTTCAAAGGGATTTGGTATGTCAATGGGTTCGTCGGCATTTTTGGTTGTCAATGTGTTTTCCTTCTCACTCACAGCAGGCGCATTGGCGAACGAGCGAGGTAATAGTTGTTGCGTGCCTCTTAAACTGGCAGCATTCACTAAGGGTAAGACACAGTTATAAATATGCTTTTAGTTTATTAGATTATCATTTACCATTTCGAGCGATAAGTCTTGTTAATTTAAACATCTTTAATATTTTCGCTTTCGGTTAATAGGGCTGCGAGGCACACCAGGTAGCAATATAAGAATGTTGCCAGTAGATATATTTCAGCAGCTGTTTGCACATATGCCACCAGCCCTGGTAGCTGCAACTCAACCATCTGGCAGCCCTTGGCGGTTTATTTAAATGTTTCAAAATTGAATATATAATCGAAGTGCAAAGACTTTTAGTTATTTTTATAGTATAGATATATGAGTAGATATGCATGGTCCCAAATAAAACAACTCGGTTTATACTTTTTTCACTATTTTTTATTTACTTCCAATCCAATCAATCCCAATCCGTTTCTGGCATTACATCTGAAGAATAAGTGAACTTTCTCGGCTTAGGTTGAATTATATCATCAACAAATACCGCATTTTTTATGGTAGTTTTAGCTGTTACTGCTGTGGTCGTCTCTTGAATAATAGCCCTAGTAGTACTTTCAACTGCAAAAGTGTTTGCCAGAGTAAGTGGAATTTCAGTTGAATTACTTTCAGATGTTTCGGTTGTGGATGTAACTGCGAGAATTGTAGTTGTGTCTGGTTTATCAGTTGTAGTGTCCAGCTGAGATGTTTTTGATGGCGATTCAGTTGTGGATATAAATTTGGTTGTGTCTGGCAAATCGATTGACGTCTCGGTTCCAGAAGATGTAAATATAGGCAGAGAAGTCGTTTCATCTGGTGATTCGTTTGAAGTCACTGTCTGGGAGTATGTAGTTCCATCAGTTGTGGATATAGCTAAATTCGTAGTATCTGGTAAATCGGTTGTGGTTGTTGATTCGGTTGTGTATTGCATTGTAGTACTAGCAATGTTTGTCGTAGATTCTGTTTCAGCTGACGTTGATGTTTGCGGTTCTTGAGTTGTGGAAATGGAAACATCGGTTGTTGACTGGGACAATGTTGTTGGCAACGCCCAGTTTATATTGGTGGTGACATCAATCGTTGGTGTTGTTTCTGTGGTCAACTGATGAAATAGACTTTTTAGGTTTTCCATTTCGGTTGTCGCTTCTGGCTGGGTTGATGTTGGTTCTGTAGTAAAATCATTTTCAGCGGTCGTATCCATGAAGGATGTAGAGCTTGTTTCGGTTATTGATTCAGACTCAGGTGCTAGTGAGCTTGTTGTAATGGTAGCTTCAGCCGTTGGCTCTGTTATCGAGCTATTTGAATAGTCCTCTTCGGGGCTCGTATCTTCGGTATTGATATAGTAATAAGATGTGGTTGCTTCGAAGCCTGGCGTTGTTCCAATTATAGCTAGCAATGATGTGGACATCTCGGGAATTTCCGTGGTGCTCGTGGATTGTTCAGTTGTAGAATAATTTGGTATATCACTAATTACTTCAATATCCTCTTCAGCATTCCCCCAATCGAAATCATTGGTGGGCGTTTGAGTTGTGGGCTTTGGCACTGCCGGTAATAATAATGCTGGAGGGATCTGCAATATATTTGTCGTGTTTGTTGGCCTATACGGCACATACTTCTTCACATTATACGGCTTGTGAATGCTGACGTAATATTTTGACAATGTAACTAGGTCCTCGCGGCTGGCAATGGTATTTGGAAGAGTTCCTGTGTTTTCAGCAATTACAACTTTTCCAGCAATAATAGGGATTAAAAGTAAAACTGGCAGAACAACTAGCAACACATTCATATTGATGTGTTTGTAAGGGAGCTACGCGGTTGACTAATTACCTCAGCAATCTGTTGGTAAGATGAAATCTTTATCTGCCTACCTGACCTACCCAGCAGCACCTCTCCCTTACCTGTTTTAATGACTGTTGAGGGATGGTCAAAGTAATTATGGTGCGAAGGGACGGTTGCAAAAAAACAGGAAATTCAAATATTATTTTTGCCGCCAGGGCTGCATTACTTATTTGTAGTTGGCAACTATACCGAATATTGCCTTTGGTCACACTGTTGCCGGCCAGCTGTTTGCTTGATTTCGAAGAAGAAGAGCGGCGTGCATCGTATTCCGCGTTTTCTGTTGAAAATATTTATATTTTAATAAATACCAAGTATAACCCATTGCAAATACGCTCCATTCAGCTTTAAATTAATATACAATATATTTATAATTGAGGTAAGCAGCTGGAACCTCTAGTTGTGGTCATTCGGCGATGCCGGCTTAGCTGAGTAAACGTTTGGCAAAATTTTCATTAGGGTGACCCATGTTTTTATTGCAACAATTTTAGAATCCCATTAGAGTGGATACAAAATGTTATTAAGTATTTAAATAAATTTGTATGAAAATTGCAGAATGGATTCTGATTTGTATGATGAGTTTGGAAACTATATAGGACCAGATTTGGACAGCGATGATGATGATGACCAAAGTATTTATGGTCAGCCCGATGTGCAAGATGATCAAGATGTAAGTACATAAGAGACCTAAATTATTCCATTGGTTATACACAAAAAACTTTTTGCAGGAGGATGCCATGGATGAGGATGAAGCGGAGCCACAAGATGATGAAGATAAAGAAGTAACAGCAGTTGTGCTACATGAGGATAAACGCTATTACCCATCGGCCGTTGAGGTGTATGGGCCGGACGTGGAGACGATTGTGCAGGAGGAGGACGCACAACCGTTGGACAAGCCGCTCATAGAGCCCGTGAAGAAGTTGAAATTCCAGATTAAGGAACAGGATCTTCCCGAAACTACTTATGATATGGAATTCATGGCAGACCTCATGGACACGCCACCCTTGATTCGAAACGTTGCACTAATCGGTCACTTGCACCATGGCAAGACCACATTTGTGGACTGTCTAATACGTCAGACGCATCCGCAGTTTGAGAACATGGAGGAGCGCTCGCTGCGCTACACCGACACACTATTCACGGAACAGGAGCGCGGTTGCAGCATCAAGGCTACACCGGTTACGCTTGTGTTGCAGGATGTCAAGCAGAAGAGCTACTTGCTAAACATCTTTGACACGCCCGGTCATGTGAATTTCTCGGATGAGGCAACCGCTGCTATGCGCATGAGCGACGGCGTGGTGCTCTTTATTGATGCGTCCGAAGGAGTCATGCTGAACACCGAACGTCTGCTCAAGCATGCTGTGCAGGAGCGGCTAGCGATCACTGTTTGCATCAACAAGGTGAGTTAATTGATTTTATATGCATGCTAATTTATAGCTGTTAACTTAATTCCCATTTAAGATCGATCGCTTAATTTTGGAGCTCAAGCTGCCGCCTCAAGACGCTTACTTCAAGCTAAAGCACATTGTCGAGGAAGTCAACAGCTTGTTGAGGTTTGAGAGTAGACATTTTCATATGGAGAACCCTTTTTAATGACAAATTCTTTCTTTTATATCTAACAGCACCTACGGCAGTGCGGATGATAATCTGATGGTTTCGCCTGTGCTAGGCAACGTTTGCTTTGCGAGCTCTTTATACGGTTTTTGTTTTACCCTAAAGTCCTTTGCCAAGCTCTATGCGGATACGTATGAAGGCGTGAATTACAATGAATTTGCCAAACGGCTATGGGGCGACATGTACTTCCATAGCAAGTCGTAAGTTTGGATTTGAATGGTGTCCAAGTGTTGATCAAATAATCCTTAAATCCCTCAACAGGCGAAAGTTTACCAAGAAGCCGCCACACAACTCGGCACAGCGCAGTTTTGTGGAGTTCATACTGGAGCCCATGTATAAATTGATTGCGCAAGTGGTGGGCGACGTGGACACTACGCTGTCGGACACCTTGGCAGAGCTGCACGTGCGCGTCTCGAAGGATGAGATGAAATCCAACATACGGCCTTTGCTGCGCGTGGTGTGCAATCGATTCATGGGCGACTGCAGCGGCTTTGTGGATATGTGCGTGGAGCACATTAAGTCACCGCTGGAGAATGCCAAGCGTAAAGTGGATCACATATACACTGGCCCAAAAGAGGGCGATATTTACCGTGACATGATATCGTGCAATCAGTACGGCACCCTGATGGTCCACAGCTCGAAGATGTACCCCAACGACGACTGCACTTTCTTCCAGGTGCTGGCTCGGATTGTGTCCGGTACACTGCATGCTGGGCAAGAGGTGCGCGTGCTGGGCGAGAATTATACACTGCAGGACGAGGAAGATTCCCGGATTCTTCAAGTCGGTAGATTGTGGGTCTATGAGGCGCGCTACAAAGTGGAATTGAATCGTGTGCCCTCGGGCAACTGGGTGCTCATCGAAGGCATTGACCAGTGCATAGTGAAAACATCCAGCATTGTGGACATCAATGTGCCCGAGGATCTTTACATATTCCGGCCGCTCAAGTTCAACACCCAAAGCATCATTAAGATAGCTGTGGAGCCGGTGAATCCCTCAGAGCTGCCAAAAATGTTGGACGGTTTGCGTAAAGTGAACAAATCGTATCCTCTGCTCTCCACCCGTGTCGAGGAGTCAGGCGAACACGTTATCCTGGGCACTGGCGAGCTGTACTTGGACTGCGTGATGCATGATCTGCGCAAGATGTACTCGGAAATCGATATCAAGGTGGCCGATCCGGTAGTGGCATTCTGTGAGACCGTTGTGGAGACCAGCTCATTGAAGTGTTTCGCCGAGACACCAAATAAGAAGAACAAGATAACCATGATATCGGAGCCGTTGGAGAAGGGCTTGGCCGAGGACATCGAGAACGAGACTGTCTGCATCAATTGGAATAAGAAGCGCATCGGAGAGTTCTTTCAGGTCAACTATGATTGGGATTTGCTGGCAGCCCGTTCCATTTGGGCTTTTGGGCCGGATAGTACTGGACCCAACATTCTGGTGGATGATACGCTGCCCTCCGAGGTCGATAAAAATTTACTGACTGCGGTCAAGGACTCCATAGTGCAGGGCTTTCAATGGGGCACACGCGAGGGGCCGCTCTGCGAGGAGCCCATACGCAATGTTAAGTTCAAAATTCTGGACGCCGTCATAGCCAATGAGGCACTGCATCGTGGTGGCGGCCAAATCATTCCCACAGCCCGTCGTGTCGCCTACTCAGCTTTCCTCATGGCCACGCCCCGTTTGATGGAGCCCTATCTGTTTGTCGAGGTGCAGGCACCTGCAGATTGCGTCTCAGCGGTCTACACTGTCCTGGCGCGTCGCCGGTAAGTTTGTTAAGATATAGACTTGCTTGACGTATATTCATTCATTCCATGCTTGCAGAGGTCATGTAACACAAGATGCGCCAGTCTCGGGTTCTCCTATCTACACAATCAAAGCATTTATACCCGCCATTGACTCGTTTGGATTTGAGACAGATCTGCGAACGCATACCCAAGGCCAGGCCTTCTGCCTGTCTGTATTCCATCATTGGCAAATCGTGCCAGGCGATCCGCTAGACAAGAGTATTGTCATCCGCCCGCTGGAGCCACAGCAAGCCTCTCATTTGGCTCGTGAGTTCATGATCAAGACACGCCGACGCAAGGGTCTCTCCGAGGATGTGTCCATCAACAAGTTCTTCGACGATCCCATGTTGTTGGAGCTGGCGCGACAGGATGTGCTACTCAACTATCCACTATAATTTATAGTCTATAACTATCCAATAAAATACTGCATTTTCGATCGGGAACAGATCCTTGAACAGCTCTTAGCAGTAACTTCGAAATGAAAATGCATTCGTCATAAAGAAAATGAAATACTATGTTTACTGTTTATTAACTTTCATTACTTGTGTCTACACAACTGTAAACCTAGTTAAATAGATAGATAGTTCAGCAGATAACAAGTAATACTCGATTATTTCGAGTACTTGCTTAGGCAGCGCCGTTCTGCAGTGCTTCTGACTCGTAGGCCTCCTGCTCGGCCTGCTCGTCGTCGAATTCGACATCGTCGTCGGCGGTTGCTTCCTGGAAGGAGTGGAAGAGAATGCGATTATAGGCAAATGAAATTAATAAGCTCAAGCTGAGTGTCTCCCACCTGGTACTGCTGATACTCGGATATCAGATCGTTCATGTTGCTCTCCGCCTCGGTGAACTCCATTTCGTCCATGCCCTCGCCGGTGTACCAATGCAGGAAGGCCTTGCGCCGGAACATGGCCGTAAACTGCTCGGAGATGCGCTTGAATATCTCCTGAATGGCCGTCGTATTGCCAATGAATGTGGCCGACATCTTGAGACCGCGCGGCGGAATGTCACAGACGGCCACCTTCACATTGTTGGGTATCCATTCGACAAAGTAGCTGCTGTTCTTGCTCTGCACGTTGAACATTTGTGTGTCCACCTCCTTCATGGACATGGGGCCTGTTAATTATTAAGAGTGCAGCGTAAAAATACTTGAACTCTGCTTCTGGTGGCAGCATTTTTTCCGCTTTCTTTCACATCAAAAGCCAAGATGGCTTTGATGCGTCAAGTAAATCCCCAAATCCCTGAATATGAAATACTAAACGGCTTCTAAGCCCTGACAGCGCACTTGGCCACCTGGGCTATGCTTGTACTGCTCCTACCGCTCCTGCTGCTTCTGCTGCTGCTACTTCTGCTTCAGCTTCTGCTTGTGTCGATGCCGGCGCTCTTAGGCGTAAGTCTAGTGGGTGCGCCGGAGACGGGGCCTGCAGGTGGTGGACACCAACAGAAGCAGTCCCATGAGGCAACTAAAAAAGCTGTTTAAATTCTTGTTGCTTTTTTTTTCCTGCGCTTCCCTGTTTAGTTTTTTTATTTTATATATTTTAGCTGGCGCTCATT